ATTTTTAGAGAAGGGGGAAGGGAAGGAGAAAGAGTGGGAGAGAAACATCAATGTGTGGTTGCATGTCTTGTGTCCCGCAGTGGGGACCTGGCCCACAACCCAGGCATGTGCCCTGACTGGGAATCGAACCAGCAACCTTCCACTTCACAGGCCCGCACTCGATCCACTGAGCCACACCAGCCAGGGCTGCATTTCTTTTAAAAGTACTGCAGAGCCTGCATTTTCTCCCTTTTTATAATAGCACTGGTGGTAAGGCTATGTGTCATTTTCTCTTCCTTTCTTTTTTTCTCCAGGTAACAGTAACTGAGTTCCATGGCTGGTCTTAGAAGTCACCGAGATGATATTCACAGATGAGCCACAAATGAAAAGATGCTGAGAATAAACATGTTTTTAAATTAAAATGCTGCCCTGGCTGCTGTGGCTCAGGGGATTGAATTCTGGACTGTGAACCAAAGGGTCCCTGTTTCAATTCCCAGTCAGGTCACATGTCTGAGTTGCCCTGTAGGTCCCCAGTAGGGGACGTGCAAGAGGCAGCCACACATTGATGTTTCTCTCCCTTTCTCCTCCTCTCTCTAAAAACAAATAAACTGGGGGATGGGCTAGGATGGTAGTAAAAGACAGAAAACTGTACTTGAACAATTAAAATAAAATTAAAAAAACAAAAAATACACAAAAATTAAAAATATTAGAGTTTAAAAATATTGTACCTATTACAAATGTATTGTTTTTAAATGCATTCTAAATAAATTAATTGGCACATAAAATTGCCCTAAAGAAAGGTAAAATTTCAGCTGTGCCAAACTACTTTTTCTTACCACCCCTTAAACTTTTATTATTTTAATCTAGAAATCCTGAATTTCTCAGTATTTTTGGTGGCATATTTTTTAAAGTAAACACTGAGTTTTCTCTTCTTTTTCAGTGATTTTTCTAATTAACTTTATGATTGGTGCCTACAAGTACAGTAACTTGTTCCTAGATTTAACATGTGTTCACTGAAATTTGAAGAATTAGAAGTAACATATATATCAATAAAATGAAAAGACAACCCAGTGAATTGGAAAACATATTCGCCAGTGGCAGATATCATAAGAAGTTAATATTAAAAATTTATAAAGAATGTATACGACATAATTACAAAACAACCAAACCACCCAATTAAAAAATGGGTAGAGGACCCGAACAGATACTTCTCCAAGGAGGACATACAGAGGGCCCAGAGACATGTGAAAGGATGCTCAGCATCACTAGTCACCAGGGAGATGCATATTAAAACCACAATGAGATATCACTTCATACAGGTCAGAATGGCCATCGTTAACAAAGCAACAACAAGTACTGGCCAGGTTGTGGAGAAAAGGGAAGCATAGTACAGTGTTGATGGGAATGCAGACTGGTGCAGCCACTGTGGAAAACAGGATGGAATTCCTCAGAAAACCAAAAATGGAACTGCCCTTTGACCCAGTGATTCTACTTCTAGGAATACAACCTAGGAATCCTGAAACACTAATTGAAAATAATATATGCACCTCTATGTTCATTGCAGTATATCTACAGTAGCCAGGATATGGAAGCAGCCCAAGTGCCCTTCAGTAGATAAGTGGATAAAAAAGCTGTGGTACATTTACACAATGGAATACTATGTGGTCATAAAAAAAAAAATCTTACCTTTTATTACAGCATGGATGGACCTGGAGAGCATTATGCTAAGTGAAATAAGCCAGTCAGAGAGAGAAAAGTACCATGAGATCTTACTCATATGTGGAATCTAATGAACAAAATAAACTGACAAAATAGAAACAGGGGCATGGACACATGGAACAGACTCACAGATTTTAGAGGGGAGGGGTTGGGAACTGGGTGAAGGGTCTTAACAAAGAAAAAACTCACAGACAACAGCAAGGTGATCACTAGACACAGAGGGGTTGGGGGAGGTGGAGGAGGGTAAAGCGGGGATCAGTGGTGATGGAAGGAGACTTGACTTGGGGTGGCAAACACAGAATACAGTGTACCCATGATGTGTTATGGAATTGTACCCCTGAAACCTATATAATTCACTTAGCCAATGTTACCCAAATATATTTAATGAAAAATTTATAATTAAAAAATGAGGTACCTTATAATTCAGATATTTATGAAGCTGCTAATCTCAAAATGTCTCTCCAAATAACTCTGCTAACAGAAACTAATAATTTGTGAAATACGTGAAAAGTTTATAAAAGTAATCTGGGTGGTATGAAGCCAGTAGTACATCTTTTCTTTCTCTTCTTTCTATGTAATTTGAAATACACAGAGATTTGATTTTACTCCAAAGTATTCTATTACCTCTCTGCAATCAAAAAGGTCTTTGCAACAGAGTGCTCTTTTGAGATTACCCTTTTGCAGAAAGATTATTTTGCACTACAGTAAAAAGTCTAGTTACGTACCGTACCTCACTCTCATTCTGTTTGAACAATAGTCCAGAGACTTCTAATAACTCGGGTGTTGTACCCAATGTTCCAGTGTTTAGCGGCCGTGCTTCATGTCAGCATGACTCTAGCACTTTCATTTTAATGAGTAAGACCACAGATCTTCAATGTTACTTACTTCATACGGGGTTTTCAGGAATTGTCTTTGAGATCAATTCTGCTTTAACTGTTCTCAAGAGATTTTCTCACTGTTCTATGCCTGTAACTAGACTCGTATTCACTGTAAGGATATTATCTAAATGCTAGACTATAATTACTGAGTTGTAGCAAAAATATGTGCTTTCTATGATCTAAGAGAAATTCATTCAAATTGTCTTCTTTTTTTAGAGGAAACAAATGGAGGGTGGATGTGTTTGCATTTTGCACACTGTATTTTGTTCAACCCATAAAAAGAATCTGAATATCCAACACAGATCTTGAAATGTACAGGGTCCATCAAAGTAAGGCCTGCTGGAGTGTGGTTGCTAGGGTAATAATACAGGTATAATAATCTCTAGTTTTAATGTGAACATTTCCCCTAAAATGTCTTATGATGTGCTGGAGTGTGATATTGCTGTGTTACAGAATTACATGCTTATGATTTTGTCATAAAAGATTTTGTAATAAAAAGGAATGTTATTTGTGCAGGACCCTGTATAACAGATACACCTTTCAAAGGCTTGCCATGTCCAAATAATCTGCAGTCAATCGTAAAATTTGAGTTGCGAAAGGGGAATATCACAACAAGGTGTACAGTAAGTCCAACAAAAGTATCCTCCTGAGTTCCTTAGAGATTTATCACAATAAATAATTGATGCCATAGCCACATGTATTAAACAAACATTAATAAATAAAAAGATAGTTGTAAAACAGTTACAGAAGGAAAACATTGCTTTATTGAGCTGTACAGTAAATGATCGTCTAACCATTATGTTGTACATCTGAAACTAATACAAAATAATACTGAATGAACAAAACATGTTTACTTTTGATTAAATACAAAAGAAATAGTACAGCTCCCCAAGAAGGGCATCCTAGAGTCCTATTCAAATTAAACTTTCAGCTCACAGTCTGAGGTTTCATAGGGATATGCTGGATATTGGTCCTCATGTTCTAATAAATGATAAACTATATTACAAAAATAAGTTTGCATTCAGAATCTTGTGAAACTTTGTACTATTTGACAAAACTCACCAAAGTTTCATTTAGCAAGATGAGTACTGTGGTGATAAGTCAACAATACTATATTGCATATTTGAAGTTTACTAAGAAAGTAGATGTTACATTGTCTTCTCAACATACACACAAAAGAAAGTGGTACCATATGGAGGTGATGGATATATTAGCTTACTGTGGTTATCATTTCACAATGTATATGTATCAAAACATCAAGTTGCACACCTTAAATATACACACTCTTCATTTGTAAATTACACCTTAATAAAACTCTTATTTAAAACAAAACTTTTTTTGATTTGCTCTAACATTTATTGAGCTGTTTTTGATGTGCCAGGCATGGTACAAGGCTCTGGGTATAACAATGACTAAGAAAAGGACCTCAGGGAGCTTACAGTCTAATGGTAAACTACTGAGTAAAGTGAGGCCCAGAGTGGTAAAGCATTTACAGTGAGGCAGAATTAACTAGGTACTTGGAAATGGGGGACTAGAGATAGACAGTGACCAAGGTATAACTAACACATCAAATGTAAACTCCTATGATTGAAGAACAAGGCTTCACACAAAAACCTAACAGAAAACATACTGGCAAGAAGATTAAGATAGTTTCTAATAGTCACCTTGAGTTAAGTCATGCCTTATGATCAATTAAGCCACTGTGTGACTTGAGGATTAGGTCATGACACTGGTTTGCTCAGACACAATAACTGTAGGTAGCTTGAAATACAAGTCTAGCACTGGCAGTCACACTGAAATTCTTCAATTAAAACCATTAACCATGTACAGCATATTTACAATACATCATAGAGAAGTTTGGGAAAAAACTCTCCTCTAACCTTCATTCACAGGATTGCGTAGAAATTAGACAATATGTTACCTTCCATATATACATTGTTTTGGCTGTGCAATGGTGAAAACTTTCACTTAGACATACTTAGAAAATAATGTCAACATTGTACACATACATACAAAGACATCACATTTAAATGCATGTATATACCCATTCAATATACAGCAGTTCATTGCAGCCACGAGCCTGTGTAAGGCCATTTCTTCTAAGAACACAATCCTTGAAAGAAGGCGCAGTCCCAAAGAACTGTCCAATTTCAGGCCTGCCGGTGTGTTTTGCTAATACTCTTTGTGATCAAGTTAGTTAAGTCTGCAGGATGTCTATTTCACTGGCAAAAAGTAGTGAATAATTCCAAAGAGTTGTTTTCAAATGTGGAAACTATAATACCCAGTAACATACAGTAAATAGCGAACTACCGGCGTTAACGTTGCTACTGATTGAAAACGAAGAAACTTCAGAGAATCAAACTTGATACACAGAACACCCACACACGATGTTCCCCAAACAGCCCATACACGAATTCTCAAATCCTAGTCAAGCACTTCACTTTGCTGCGGAGGACTTTCGTTTCTATCCGGCTGTTCAGGAGGTTTGCTTTTAGGTGAAGAGGCTGTTTCACCTTCAGCCACGTTATTACTTGAATACTCCAGTTTGGGTTCAAACCAAAAGACCTCAATGGGCCCTCTGATGCTCTGTATACGCACTGTGATAGAGTTTTCTGTGGGAGTTGGAATATCCAGCATGCTTTCTGGTGGAGCTTTAACTGCGAAAGTCATCTGGTTACGGTATGCTTGAACGCTCTGAACATCCTGGTATGTCACATATGCTAGTCTTTCATTGTCCTTGTCATCTGTTAATGCAAACAACTGCTGAGCACAATCCTTAATTAACTCATCCAGAGCACGTTCCTTCGCTACTAACTCCTTAATTTCCTCATGCAGCTTCTCCTGTCTGGGCGACGGTCCAAAACTGCTGATATCAGGTCCTATCCATCGAATACGGCTCTTAGATACTTTTTCAACCATTTTGATCCCATGTAAGACACTGGTGATATCATATAATCTTCGTTTCGGTATTCCCAGTATGGGCACAATCTTTTTTAAGTGCACAACACCACCTGGAGCATTTTTGACAATATCCATAAGTTTTCGAGTGATGACAAAGAGTGATGAATCAAAACGTGATTTGTTCCCTTTGTGAGACTTTGTCACGCTCACAACTTGTCCATTATTACCCCCTAAATCCTTTTGTTCTTTTGGGGGCTTCAGGCCGCCCATGCAGGCGCCCTCTGGGCGCGAGCTGCGCATTGACTCCTCTGCTTTGCCCGTAGCTGGGCTAGGCACCTTCTGTACAGGGCACTGCCCACTCACGCTGCCCGCCTGGTCACCCATCACCCTAGAAGTGCCCGGCACACCTGGGCCCTCAGGAACCGAGAGTTCTCTCACCTCCTCAAAGGCCGGCAGGAATCTGCTACCACACACCAGTCCCGAGACGAGCACGAACAGGGCTTGAGGCCAGCTCACAGATGCACGGAGCAGCGCCAAGTCTCCAACTAACAGATGAACGCACCACTGCCTACAACCGCAGGAGGTACAACGCTGTCCATAAGAAGAGAGCAGCACGACTCACGACTCTCAGGCCGCCACCATCTTCCCGCATGCGCAGTGAGTCTCCCGAGCGCAATGATCTTACTGTGCGTAGTGTGTCGTCCACGTGCGCACTGTGCTGATTGGATGCGTACTGCGGCGACGGCAGCACGTGTACAGTGGCTGTGGTGCCTGTGTGCATATAGCACCTTGCACGTGCACAGTGTGCTGACCGCATGCGCACTGTGCTGGCGGCACGTGTACAACAGCCCTGGCAGCTGCGTAGGTACTGTGCTACCCACGTGAGTACAGTACCTTCCACGTGCACACTGCGCTGTCTGCATGCGCACTGAGCCTCTCACGAGTACATCGCACCGCCACCGCTGCCCAAGTCCGCCATCGCCAGACCACCTCATCCACAGATCGCCCTTTTCAAAATATGAGAGAAGAGGAACAAGGTGTGTGAGTACCCTGTGATGCATAATAAATTAATGCATCATGGGATAAGAGTACTTCTTTGGGGTTCGTTTTCTTTCGTTAGGGATAGACTGCATCAATGAACAGAACCAATATCAAAAATTGTTACTAATGGTACTATTTAGTGATTCATTTTAAGGAAAAAGATAAGGATGAAAAATGCTAAATATTATTTTAGCAGATATTTCCCAACAGTAAATATTACATGTGCCCAAAATGAGTTAATACCCTGGAATTTTGTTTTATTCTTTATTTTCTTTTTTTTTTATAGTTCTGTGCCACTTTATTGTATGTTTGGATTCATATAATAACTATGTCAACCATAGGCATAGTCATCCTCATGCCTCTTTCACATATTCCCAACCTCCCCACATCCCACCACCTTCTTTTTTTTTTGGTGCAATTTTTGTTTATTTCATTGCATTTTTTTAAATTAATTTTATTTATTTATTTTTTCAAGTACAGTTTTTTTGTCTATTTCTCCCATCCCAGCATCCCTCGCCCCTTGCTCCCCACCTCCCTCCCATTTCCACCCCCCTTAGTTCTCATCCCTGTGTCCTTCCTATTTGTTCCTCCAAATCCCTCCTCCTTTTTCCCCTTAACTTCCCTTCCCTCTCCCCTCTGGTTACTGTCCCCTTGTTCTCTATGTCAGTGTGTTTGTTGTTTTTTTTTCTGCTTGCTTGTTTGTTTTGTTGTTTAGCTTCCTGTTAAAGGTGAGATCATATGGTATTTGTCTTTCAGCACCTGGCCTATTTCACTCAGCATAATGCTTTCCAGTTCCAACCATGTTGTTGCAAAGGGTAGTAGCTCCTTCTTTCTCTCTGCTGCATAGAATTCCACTGTGTATATGTACCACAATTTTTGGATCCATTCGTTTACTGATGGGCACCTAGGTTGCTTCCAACTCTTGGCTATTGTAAATTGTGCTGCTATGAACATTGTGGTGCATAGGTTCTTTGATATTGATGTTTTTATTTTCTCAATTAAAGGCATTTTTTCAAGTAAGTGATGATGATACCTCAATATTAAGAACTATGTTGAATATAATGCTAATCTATGATTACGGCATCTAAATTTAACTTTACCTTTTAATTACAAATCTAATTGTTAATATGGGGAACTTAAAGCATGTATAGAACATCTTCAATTTATACTCCCTTGCTGTTTAGTGGTATTTCAAATTATTCTTCAATTGAATATTGTCAAACATGACTGACATCTAAGCTTGTTTGAAGGCATTGAACAACATGACATTCTTCAATGTCTCTCTTCTCAAATTCAAATTTTATCTATATGTGTACATATTATTCTTTATCCTCCCATCTTAGGCAAAACATTTGGTCTTCTCTCCAAAGCCAGAAACTCCTTTTTCTTCCCTCACCTCAGTTTTTCCTTATTTATTTTCATTCTCTCACTTGACATCAAATAATTTCCCTTCATTATAAAAACAAATTCAAGATGTCCCCATTCTCAAAACAAACTAACAATTCCTAAATCCTGAAACCCCCTTCAAGGTGAAATGCCTTTTTCAATTCCCTTTACTTTAAAATTTCTAAAACAATAATGTATCTGTATTTCCAAAACCTCATTGCTCAAATCATTGGCTAAATTACTCCCATGCTACTCTAAGTGTACTAGGTTGCTCAAAGGTCAGTAGCTAAATGAAACACAATAGCCATTTCCTGTTCTTCATCTTACTTCTCTTTAATATTTGCCTCATTTTACTTACTTGACTCCTTCCTGGCTGCTACAATTCTGTACCTTCTCCCAGCTCTCCTGTTCCTCACTCTCTGACTACTCCTTCCCTGTCTTATGTACATACACAATATGCTTTTCTGGTCCCATTTATTCCTCATAGGAAAGTATGATGTTTGCTGGGAATTCTCTTTCCCTTAGCTTTCTTCTCTGTCCAAAACAAAGATATAAACTGACAGTCTCTGTCACAAGTACAATTTACAAATATGATTTGTTTGCTCGGCATTCAAATTGAGCATGTGCTCTCTAGTTCAATATCATGTTATAACTGATTTGTTCTACACATCTATTTTTACAAGCCCATCTCAAATACTTTGTTTTTAACATTTTCATTCTTACATACTCTCTTGAGTTCTAAGGCTACATTTTTAAGTCAGTTTCTCATGACTATTTTTATATCCCTTTAGAATCTTAAATTCTATTTCTAGACATCAACTTAGCCTCTTCCCTCTCAAAGTCTTTTTTAAAAATTTATTTAGGCCAATAATGCCAACATCTTGCTATTTTATATCTGTCCATTGATTTGGGGTTGACAGTTCAATGTCATCTTGGATTCTCTTCTTGCTACACAAAACCAACTGTTTTCAAGTCCTGTCAATTCTAGTTTCATAATATATTTTGCATTGATCCCTCTACCTCATTCCCAGCACAAGGTTAAGTTCTCACTGCTCCATCTGTTGATTCCTGTAGTAGCTTCCTTATCAACTAAAGAGTGTCATATGGAAAACATTTGAAGGAGTATCAAGTTTAACCCAGGACAAATAATATTGGGCTGCCTAAAAAGCTACCTTTAAATATCTGAAAAGCTGTCACAGAGAAAAGTGATTAGAATTATCCGGAGTGGTGTTCAAGAAAGCCAGGACTGCAGTTGGCGCAACATGTATAGAAGGGTTTTGGGGTTAATATAAAGAAACTTATTTTCTCATGTTTAAGAAAGTAAACTCATGCAGTGCTCCAGGTATTTGAGCCCAGGCTGGAAGACATCAAGTCAGAGATATTATAGACAGGACCCACTTTCCAATGAAGTCTCCTGTGAGTCTTGGCATTTCTTTAGCCCTGGCAACTCCCAGAGTAGTTTACAGCTAGTTTTGAGTCTTTGGTTTCCTGTTCAGCCAGTGCTGTTTTGCCCATGTGGTCCATAGCCTGGCTGTGCATCTTCTCTGTTCGGCTCCCTGTTGCCCATCTCTGTGCCTCCTAACTGTGTGGGCAAATGTTTCTTTAACTCCTTGGTTGTCAGAGTTCCATGCAGTTTGATTTTCTGGCACTTCTGGTTGTTTACTGTTTTTAGATTGGTTGTTATCCTTGATATTGTGCAAGGAAACCAAGTGTTTCTACCTACACCTCCATCTTGGCCGGAACTCTTCTAGAACTATCCTAATAATAATGGTGTTACTAGCTAGGGAAGGATTTAAAGAGTTGATTTCATTATCAGGAGTTTTTGAAAAGTGATTTAAAAATAGCTAAAATGGTTGCGTTACCTACATACTTATTTATTGCTATGCAGTGCTCCTTGTGAGTCTTAAGTTTAAAACTATGACCATAAGTAGGATAAAATTCATATCCTCAGCATGTTGTGCATTTCAAGACTAATTGTCATGGCACAGCCATCTGCTCTCATAATTAAGCACAACAGTCCAGCAGTTGTCCAGCTGTTGCCATTATGCAGTGCATTCAAGAGTCCAATATGCTGACATTGAAATGGGAACAACAATGGAGACAGCTGTAGGTACAATCCAATAGGGAGTAGGAAAGACACTCATACTGGTAGTTCCCAACTCCTCAGGTATCGATATAAAATGTGTCCTTTGCCTACATGCTGAATTAGCCTATGCTGCACATTTATATTAAAATGTTTCTTATTTTCTTCATTAATTTTTTTCATACATTCATAATCACATTCAGTGGACTTTTCTATTTTCCTGGACTGGCTAACATGATTATGTGGAGTTGAGAGCAGACAAAGAGAACCCATCCATACTCTATTTCTCTGCATTTTCCAGGAAGATCAGTGGGCCCACAGCAATGCCTTATTTTTATGTCACATGCCTGTGGTTGTAGGAAGCAGACTTCTGCTGGCTCACCAATAACTGGTTTCAGGGAAACAGCCCACTGGAATGGCCTAGAATGCCACTGTATCTTTGTTATCATATCCACCAACATCAACAGTGCTTCTGCTATGGACTGGCTAAGATTAGACACAAGCCTGCCCAGCACTGAATGTGAAATTAATTGAAGGTGCTGCACGAAAATCTTTGAAGAACTGAAACTGTTTTTTCCCAGGGTCTAGTACGGAGTCTTTTATATAATAGACATTCCACAAATGTTCGCTTAATAAATGTACACAAATTAGCTGCAAGTGCAAGGGCATGAACACACACTAAGTGCAGCTGAGATTCAGATGTGATGGA